AAGATCATCTGAAGGGCAATCATTTTTTATCCCTATTAGGATTAATATCTTCAAATGTACTGGTGTTCATGTTGGATCTTCAAGAGGAAGATCGACTCCCGATAAAATCCTTTGAAAGACTCGATACTGTCTCGGTCTCGAGATAGAGCATTGTTCGGATGGAATCTTAGTACATCAATCGAACTACACCCAGAAGGTGTTGCGCCGTTTTAATGAGGATAAAGCGAAGTCTTCGAGTACTCCTATGGTCGTTCGTACGCTAGATGCAAAGCGAGATCCCTTCCGTCCGAAAGAAGATGATGAAGGGATTTTGGAGCCTGAAGTTCCTTATCTAAATGCGATAGGCGCTTTATTGTACTTAGCTCAATGCATTAGACCCGACATCTCCTTCGCTGTTAATCTTTTGGCAAGATACAGCAATGCACCAACACGCAGACATTGGACTGGCGTGAAAGACATCTTCCGTTACCTTAAGGGTACTACGGATTTGGGCTTATTCTATCCCTACGAATCTTCGAGTGATGCCGCACCCTATGCTCATCGGGTTGATTTTCGCCTTGTTGGTTATGCCGACGCTGGATACTTATCTGATCCGCACAAGGCGCGTTCTCAAACGGGTTATGTCTTTACCGTTGGAGGCACCGCAATATCTTGGAGGTCAACTAAACAGACCTTAGTTGCCACTTCGTCTAACCATGCTGAAATTCTCGCCTTACATGAAGCAACTTGGGAATGCTTTTGGTTGAGAGCAGTAATGGGCCATATTCGAAGCTCCTGTGATCTTCATCCCGCCGTTAATACCCTGACGACGATTTTTGAAGACAACGCAGCTTGCATCGAACAGCTCAAGAAGGGTTACATCAAAGGAGACAACACCAAGCATATTGCGCCGAATTTCTTCTTTACACATCAACAACAAGAGCATCAGAAGATTGAAGTCACGCAAATCCAATCACAAGACAATCTGGCTGACCTTTTCACCAAATCACTACCGAAGGCGAGGTTTCAGAAGCTTGTTCATGAAATTGGTATGCGTAAATTTTCTGAGTTGTAACTTTGCTATTTCTCTTTGGAATTATGTCAAACTCAGGGGGAGTATCTTCTGGATACTTGCTTGATCTTAATGTACTCTTTTTCCCTACGATTAGGAGCATTTTTCTCACTGGGTTTTTGCTACCTAACTAGGTTTTAACGAGGCACCCACCTTGGGCTGGTCATATCCCTGATGACATCCTGTAGACGTTTCTTTTGACTTTTCATTTCTCACGCATTTTTCCTTAGACTATGGATTTTGTCCCTACTTGGGTTTTTGCCATAGCCTTAGGGTTTTTTTTTAGTGAGACTTACTACTTATGCAAGTTCCTACCTTATTGAGAATAAGCGTTGTTCCTTGGAATCAGTGCCGACGAGTCGACTTCCTCAACTTCTGTATGATGCTGAATTTACCTTAAGTATTTGCACACTCAAGGGGGAGTGTTGTAAACATTCCTAGAATAAGTATGATTGTGTAAATCCTAGATTAGATTTGATTCTAGTTATCCTTTCCTATTACAACTTGTATTACTTGGAGGAGAAGGAATATCTTCTCTCCCTTTACTACTATAAATAAAGGCACAATGTAGGAGGGATAACAACACACACATTCCCCTACAATTCTACAAACACACATCTCTCTCATCTCTCTCCACTGCCGCCGACCCTCTCTATATTGTCAGATAAAAATAGACCACAACAATTATATAGTAATCACTTAGTAGTACAATCTAATAATATTTTTATCTACTTGTAAGTGAACATTTTAAGTTTTAACCTCGTAAACATTCACATAATTAAAAAATAATTGTAACCATACATAATTATCATGATTAACATTTATCTTTTTAGTCGTCAATCAACTATCACCCTCTCAAAAACCAAAACCAAATCTAAAAGCAAAATCGGTTTGCCGGTTTCTTTTTTTTTTTTTTTTTAAGTTTTCAATTTTGGTTTTCTTCCGTTTTTTTGCCCACTCTTAGTTGTGATCTCTTCGGCCTTCTCAATACATTTCGCTTGCGCTGTATCGGCCTTTCTTGAATGCCTAATCTTAAAATTGATTATTCGGCCTCTCGACTTCAGCTAGTTCAGTCCGAAATGATTTTATGTAACTTCTCATGCTTTCGTCCCCAGTCTACTCTATGTTGAACAGAGCATCATGTCGCTTATGAACATCGTGACGGAAGTTCTGCATACCATCTCATGGCACTCCCCTTGAGATTAGAAGGGAACATCTTGAACATGCATGAGGTTCAGAAAAATACCAGCTTTTCCATTAGCCATCATCACTTCCATATTAGTGACACTAATAATGACATACTCAATATTAACTTTAGGGTAATGTTAGGGAGGCAAATTATTTTGACTAAATTTTGTAAACCATATGACATGATTGTTGATGACTAAATTATTACTTAAGTGTTGATCAACGTGCTTATTTCTTATTGGTGACACCTCACATGGTTTCAAATTTGGTCTTAACAATTGATCTACGTAACATTACTCTTAACTCATGTTAACACTAAAAAATTGCTAGTTAACAAACTTAAAACAATGGCCCTCGGTGGGCTTGAATCGAAATTGAAATGAAATGGACTCAGGACTTAAGTTGTTCGCCGCTCAAAACTGGGTACATCCACGGTGTTACTCGAATTATATTGATTTCAAAGCTTACAAAAAGTGCCCGGCTAAAGGCTATATTTTTCTCTCTTCAGTCGTTCGACCATCTTACAAGAGGTTCCCACCCGTTCGACCATCTTACAAGAGGTTCCCACCCTTTATATAGGCTATCCATAAACCCAGAAAGCATCTCTCTCACCTTTCTAGCATTTGATGCATCACTTGCATTGTCTAACATACTAACAACTTTTTTAAGTATCAGTTAACATTGTGCGGTGAAGTGACGTTTGCTCAGTCGTGATTGCACGTCTATCTAGATCGATATGTGTGAAGCGACTTTCTCGGCCTTGATTAGTCAACGATGTCATTATGAGCAGTGGTCCGACCATCTTTATGTCCCATCCTAGACTTCTGCTTTTGATTGGTGATTGGCACGTGACCTGATTGGTGTCTGATTAAGCATGCTCCTAAAGCCTTGTGCCATAAAGTTGTCAGTCTTCCCACGTGACCTTGGCGGTCCGAAAGTACTTAATGTTGCTTAGTCGAACTAGGCTAGTGAGCAGTCGGCTCTAGCGCTCAGGCATATCCTCTTTTAACTCTCTGGAGCATGGGGCTTTTCAATCTTTTTTGGGCTTTGACCTTAATTGGGCTTTTGTGGTCTCTTTCGCGGCTTGCACTATTTTATGGGATGAAAAGACCTTGCATTAACACCAAATCTCAATCATTTAGTAAAACCTACGGCAAAAGAAGAAACTAAATTAATAGGCAAAATAAAATACACGCTCAATTGTAGCAACGGTTGCCAAACGATACCCCTAGTCTAATTTTAGTCTTTGAACACTTATATTAGTTTCTTTAGTCCTCGAACTTAACAATGTGTTGTACACTAGCCCTTTTTACTAATGCTGTCTATTTTTTTGGTTAAATTTAGGGGTATATTTGGAACTTCATCCCAGATCATTAAAAATAAATTTAAAAATGAAAAGAAAAAAAAAAGTGTATTTTTTTGTGTAAGAAAATTGGATACATAGGAAATTTTTCGTAGTTCAATATGTGATTTGTTAGTTTTTTAAGTCCAACGACAGTTCTATCTTTTGTCGACTTTGAAATCACATTGCCTAATATTTACAAGTTGCTAAAGTCCTTCAATTTTTATTTTGTATTTATAGTACAAACTTCATTTTGTTTTAAGTTTTAGATTTTTATTTATAAATTTTTATTTGTTTTTTACCTTTTTCTATTTTTTTTAATTTTAAGTTAAAGTTCATAATATACCCATAGATTTAAGAGAACTTTAACGAAAAACTCCTGATACTGTTCACTTCAACGAAAAACCACATTTTTCCACTAAAAAGTCAATTCTGGTAATATTCATTTTACCCTTTTATTTGTCGTTATCGTTAAAACTCAAAGTTTTCAAATCATTTTCATTAATTTTCCTTAGATTTAACTGGAAACAAAAAACGACGTTAGTGAAAATGACCAACATTGCAACACATTATTAAGTTTAAAGAGTAAAAAACATTGAGCTTAGGTACCGTTTGGTACATGGGACGGGACGGGACGGGATGGGACGAGACGAAACGGAACGAGCCGTTTCGTCCCATGTTTGGTGCGCCTAAAAACTATGAAACGGGTTGTCCCATGGAACGAAATTTGGCTGATTTTTCGTTCCACTTCTTCCCCTGGAACGACCCGTTCCACATTCGTGGAACACAAATTTATAACATTTTATGACAAAATTTCTCCTTATCTTTTTCAATATTTACATCATCCATTCCACCCTGTTCCATCCTGTCCCGTCCCGTCCTGTTCCGTCCAGTCCCGTCCCGTTCCGTCCCATCTGCATACCAAACGGTACCTTAAAGCACAAGAACACCCAACTTTGCAAGAAATTTAGAGCCCATCATTTACTTAATAAAATTTAGAGCCCATTACTACAATTAAGTTTATGGCTCTAAATTTTACTACTTAAAACAATTATGTTTAAATCAATAGTAAAATTTAGAGCCCATTGCTATAATTAAGTTTAAAATATATATTGATATATATATATATATATACATATAGCCAAAATGCTCAATCATTCAATCTTGTACAAAAAAAAAAAAAAAAAAAGGGGTCATTCAACCATGGTTAGAGGAATGACGTCAAGTTGGGGTTAAATCAACCACTTTTTTCTCCCTGTCTGTCCGGTTGTATATTAGCTGTCAAATAAACCTCAAAATTTTGAAATAACAAAAGTGCTTTTTGTTTTAATTTCCAAAAACAACTTTATATTAAAATATGATTACTTTATAAAATCACTTTCGAAGGCCTTGTCTTTTCTCTCCCTCCCCCACCCCCACCCCAGTTTTCACTCTCACCTTCTCTGCACTACTCTCTCCTTCCTCTCTCTCTCTCTCTCTCTGCGTACTGACACTTGAGACAAATTGATCTTTTTGGGTCCGAATTTCTGTAATTTCAGACAAGTCCCATGTTTGTGAATTGAGATAATTCACTGAAATTTTTCTTTTCCTGTGTTCTTCTTCAAGACTGTCATGGAACCACCATGCTAGAAACGACGAAGGTTCATGTATTTGTTTCGAGACAACAAAAGAAAATAGGAAGGTTTTCTGTGGTTAGGATGTCAGTAGCTGTTAGCTCATTTCGCACCTAATTTATTCGTTTTGTTTCCTAGTGCCATGGAAGTAGTAGGCCATCTGTAGTGAGTATTATGAATTCCTGTTACATAGAAGCTGGGTTAGCGTTTGATTATTGTGTGTTTCATTTCGTCGTTCTTCTACTTCTGCACGTAGTGATTTTTCTTTTGAATGATAAACTAGGCAGAAGAAGGGATAGATGTAAGAAAGATGACAGAACACAAACGAAGCCCCTGCTCCGTTGACCAAAGCAGTATTACTTCTCTTCCATCGAAACGACATAAGACTGATTTATCCTTCTCCACAAAGGTACTTCCCCTTCTCTCTCCTTTGATTTTTTACATTCTTGGGGACCTCGTATATGCATGTGCTTGCCCGCTGGTGTGTGTGTTTGATAGTTTGCTTCTCTTAATTCGAAATGACAGTATACTGATTTATCCATCTGTGCAATGCCTCCAATTTTCTCTTCTTGGTGTGTCGACCCTCTTCTACTTGGTGTCGGGAAATTTATGATGTGTAAAACATTGTTCTACATTAGTGTGACTTGATCTAGTTTCTGTTTCTGTGCGCTTGTGTTAATTGAGTATTTGGGAGCAAAATCGGACTCACACAATCATGTGCTTAAACCTTAAAATTTGAAGCTTTCACCTTGGATGTGTCAGAATTGTTTTCTAATTTCTATAATTATGCTTTCAAGTGACCATCGTTACAAATTCCAAGTATATACTGTATCTATTAACCACCTTGATGTAAAACCGTAAGATGCTTAAAAATGGAGTGTTTTGTAAGTGCAAGAATGCAGAAAAGAGATCAAACCTTCAGCAACTGTAGTGAGAAATTTTGAAGTGACTAGGTGAAGGCATATTTCAAATGCTCGTCTAAAATGCACTCTCATGTTATTAGTTTCACATGGCAGCGGTTTTATTGCTAATTCTACTAGGGCTTTCAATCCGATCTCTCTTAAATTTTGCCTTCTTGCTTGAGATATCTATCGTGTGCTACTTATATTTTATCACTTTAATTTCTCTTGTTCTACTTTTAGGAGAGGAAAGAGAAGCTTGGTGAACGGATTGTAGCTCTGCAACAGCTTGTTTCACCATTTGGAAAGGTGCACACAACAAGTTTGTTTAACTAAATTTGAAACTTTTGAAGCATATGATTTAGAACGTTGGCATTGCAACATTAGTTGTTCCCTATCAACTCATCTCATGGAATTTGTGTCAGTCCGAGTTCTTGGGTCCAACCATCGTACACTTCAGCTTATGCTATGCTTATTTTGTTTCCAATACTAAAATTGTCTGTTCCTATAAAACGTAAGTTGTTTGTATGTCCTGTGTGTCTAATGTCCAAGTATTTTACTGCAGACAGATACGGCTTCTGTCCTTCTGGAGGCAATGGAGTACATACGCTTTCTTCATGAACAAGTTAAGGTTAGCCTTTCCGACTTATAAGTGAATGCCTACTGTAGTGGTAACCGATAATTCCCTTTTTTGTTATCAAGAAGGTCCTTCTTGCACATCATCAGAGATTGCCATTTTAATAGATTGCCTCAGATTGAAAATAAGAAGTATCAAGTCTTTGTCGATATTTGACTTTTGTGTTGGTTGGTGGATTTAGGTGTTGAGCGCTCCATACCTCCAAGGCACACCGACAGCTAACACTCAGGTGAGCTTGAGCTGGATGTAGAAATATAGTAAGAACGATATGTCAAAGTTTGTTTGGAGAACCCATGAATTACATTAATGAAGATACCGCAAATGACGGTATTGCAGAAAAACGCAATGCAGTGCGACATAATGTTTATGGTTAATATACATATTGATGTATTGTTTAATATATCAGGAACTAAAGCCATACAGCTTGAGAAGCAGAGGTCTTTCTCTTGTTCCTGTCTCCTCTACCATTGGCGTTGCTCAAAGTAATGGCGCAGATATCTGGGCGCCCATTAAGACGACTTCCCCCAAGTTTGAGAACGACATCTCACATTTCCATTGATACGAATCAATGCTCCGGCTACCAGGAGTCTTGAAGTAACTAGATTGCAGAGCACAACAAAGTCCGTTGAGGCAGATTCGGATTTATAACTGAATTCTTAGCATGACGGCGTTCAATGTATTTATGTTATTGAATGTAGTCCTTGCCTGAACTCCATCTAGTGCAGTCAGCCCCCACCCCCAACCATTCTGGTTTTCTTTAACTGGTGGTGGGATATATAATGTAGTCCTGCCAGAACTCCTTCTAGTACGCTACTTGTATTGTATACTACAAAAATGTATATTTATAAACTTGTGATGTATAATGTTTCTGACTGGGAATTAATGAAATATATGGTGGGGAATATTATGGTCTTAGAAATTGATATGGCTCTTCAAAATTGCTTTTTAATGGTCTCTAAGATCTGCTCTGAGGGAAGTTTTCCTCTCGATTGATTCAATTTGTTATGTTAGTGTTAGTATTAAGTTACTAAGGGCATGTCTGGTAACGTATTGCAAAACTATTTCTGAATAACTATTTTGTAAAATGAAAACAATAAATAGAATTTTGCATTTTTATGTTTTAAGAATGCGTCATGAAATTGAATCGGACAATGATTTTTTTGAATGAAAACATTGGAAACGCTTATGATACTAATACTTAAAATGTCAATGTATATATGCATAAATTTATGTTGGAAATTAATGGTGACGGTGGTGGTAGATGAGAGGTTGGTACCAATGGTGGCTGGAGTGGTGTAGTAGCGCAGGTAATGTGGTGGAAATGGTGGAGGTGGTGGTGGCCATGGTGAGGGTAATGGGGTAGAGAATGTGGTGATGGTGGTGCGAGGTGGTGGCCACCGTTGAGACGGTGAAGGTGATGATGGCCATGGTAGGAAGGGTGATGTCAGTGGATGGAACGATAGTGGTGGTTATGGTGAGACAGTGTCGATTGTGAGACGGTAGAAGTAGTGGTGGCCATGGAGGCGAGGGCTGGTGGCGATGGTGTCTATTGTGGCAAGGGTGATGGCAATGGAGGATAAGGTGGTGGCGACGATGGTGATGGGAGGTGGTGGTGTCAAACATGGAGGCGGTAGTGGTGATGATGGTGAGACGATGGAGAGTATTGTGGTGGTGGTGGTGGTGGTGATGGTGACGATCTGGTGGAATACATATTTTTATTTTCTATTAATGTTCTGCAGAAATTAGGCTAAATGTTTTTTATTTTATTTTTTGCATGTTTCCCTTTTTGAGTTTATTTTCACAAAACAGTCTGTCAAACACATTTTTTACCCATTTTTGTATTTGCAAAACAAAAAATAGTCATTGCAAAACGTCAGAAAACATGCCTAACTACAAGTAAGATATGTTTGGTTGCACCCAATTCATGTTTCCTTGGACACCCACTTTAGAATTCTCTAGACGCCCTAAATAACATGCAACTCTTGTAAGACTGATGATCGACAACCAGCCAACATCAACAGGAGGAGTGTGGTTCGAGTGTCTCGTTGGTGGGCCGATGGACACTTTATTGTCTAAAATAGGTTAATACAACACTTCCTTCTTCTTCCAAGACTTATGTCTACCGTACTTTCATTTTGTGCTTTATTCTTGAACTCAAAACTCGTGAACTAGTGGTTCCTGAACTTAGGGGGTGGGTTCAAAATACCGAAAACCGAACCAAACTGAAACCGAAAAAACCAAACCAAACGAAAAAACCGAACCGAATTGAAAAAACCGAACCAAACCGAATTCTTTTGGTTCGGTTCGATTTTAGTGATCTAGAAAACGAACCAAACCGAATTAATTAAATTAATTTTTTTATTTAATTATTTGTTTTGGGTATCATTTTCTAAACCCAATTTGTAAGTTAAAATGTGCTAAACCCAATGTGTTGCCAAACTTTAAGCTCAAAATATTAAAAAAGGCCTATAAAAACTTTAAACCCTAACCTATTATTTCTTCTCCATATAAGGTTCTGAAACCAAACCTCCTCCTGAAGTACCTACATCCATCTCCATAGCACTATCTACTTCTGCCCCAGCTTTCTTTTCCAAATCTACTCTCATATAATATGTAACAGAATCCATAAACATTTATTTCGGGTGATTACTTGTGTAATTTGTGATGGAAAAGAATCCAACACACACTAAATAAATCTACCACACATTACTTTTACTAATCAAGTTGTCAACATGCAATTACAAGCAAACAACCCTGATCTTTGAACAACATCATACAATTTAACTTTTCTAAGTCATTTGTACGATTTTTGTGTTGTCAGGTTGTTAGTTAGGACTTTTGAAGACTTGATTGATGATTTTAGTTCAACTTTAAATGTTTATTTTCATTGTCTTTGATTCTAGTTAGAATGCTTATGTTATGATTGTGTTGGAGATGTTAAAACTTAAAATTTCAATGTTTTTCATTTTTTGAAAAAAACAAAACAAAAAACAAAAAACCAAAACCGAACCAGAAAAAACCAAACCAAAAAAAAACTGAACCGAAAAAAACCAAAAAAAAAAATGAACCGAACCGAAATTTCGGTTTGGTTTTGATTTTGGCAAAAAACCAAACCCACCCCTACGTGAACTTATGAAAACGTGGAATACTGATCCTAATGGGTAATTCCGTTATAACTTTTGTCTCTTATTTTACTCGGTGAACCTCCGTAAAACCCTTTATTTTGGAACCAGAACATCACTCCAAACTGTGACGGACTTCATTCGTAATTTTAGCTTCTTTAACTTGTCAGTTGGAGGTTAACTTAAGCAACTGGCTTACATACAAAACAAGGCTCCCTAAAACCTAACGTTAAAACCTGGAAAAAATACGCAAGATGAAAATTTCCATACGAATGGGTTACCCGTATTGCCTCTAAATCAAACTATGTTTAAGAGATTCAAGAATTCCCCATTAAGTTCAGCGCAGTTCATGTCAGGTTTATTCCAGGTCCCCCGTGGGACCCACACGAACACCGAAAAGAAAAAACGACAGAATATTCAATTTTTCAGTATCACAGTTTAATATTTCTAAAAAGAGGATACGAAAGATACATGGTTGTTAAGATACAGATTGAGGCAGTGACAGAAGATAATAACAAGTATTCAGATTGCAGAAGCAGGCTTTACCTTCCCTTGCAGGAACTGCAAGATATGTTCACGCTTCCAATTGTCGATTCTGTGATGGAGAATAAAAAATGTCATAAGTTCGTAGAAACGTGGTTTTTCCCATAAGGAATACAAATGAAGAAAAAATTTCTAAGCAAGAGATTATAGATGTATTGTGCATGGACAGGTTTAGGCAACATTCATTATTTAGGATAAATGTGATATCATGACAAAAAAAAAACAAGAGTATGTATATCAAATGGGCCGTCCATACTTTGAGAAACATTGTGAAAGAAAATTAGAGGGATGTGTCCACTGTTTCAACGTGAATGATAAACGGATGCTCACCTTATTGTTTCCTTACGTTCGCCTGCATCATCTAGCAGGATCAACTTTGGTGGAGAATTGAAAATGTATTGAACTTTGACCGAAGGGAACCGATCCTTCTCTTCTTCAATAAAGCCAACAATTTCCGGATAGAAAACCAGTTTCCTCATGCAGACTTCCAGTATGGCACCAGAATACGTGATCTGTAGTTATAAACTGTCATGTTAAGCATTTCCTTATCTATTAAATAAATGTTAAGACTTAAGAGAAGAAGCCTCAGATGGAAACTTGCAATTTGCAGAATTGGGTAACGTGTACTGATGGATAACATTTTTATAGCATACCCTTAGAATCAAAAATCTCAGAACATCTAAAGTTGCCCTAACATGTCTTGACATTAAACTAGCAAGTCTCATGCAACCAAAACAGGTGAAAATCAACAATCCTTAAAAATAGAAGGGGAGCTTCCAAGCCTTCCATCCTACACTTGTTTTTTCCTTTGAAAGGAACACTCAAATTTATTTAGTTGTTGTACTAGCACAAGAAGTTTGACCATTGGAATTTGCATGCGGTCCAGTATCCTAGTGGATAGGGTGTTGGGTTTCTACCCATGCATCTCGGGTTCGAAACTCCCTCTCCCCTAAATTAATGTAATAGTTTCGAACCCTCTCCCCTCCTCCCCTTAATAATAGTAAAATTAAAAATAAAATAAAAAGTTTGACTGTTGGAATTTATCAAACAAATTATACAGGAACGGTGCAGATCAGAGATGGGATATCTCATACCTGAACTAGTTATCATTCACATACCTGATAAAGTACGTAAACATGCCCTAAGCATCATTAAGTTGTTGCAAGTAATTAGAATGTGCAATAGATAGGTTCTTACAAGCTGTTTGATTGTTACTAACGACGTTTGGGAATCTGTCTAGTGGTTATTAATGTTCTATGCAAAGGTTTAAAGGGTTTGGCTATATAATGCTCTATCTAGGGACTAGTTACTCTAGATTAATTTTATGTCAAGAGTTTTCAGTTTCTAAACTATCCTACAAGATTTCCCCTTGGAAATCTAGGCTCCAACGGTGATTGGAGTAATTCCATTGAGACCCCCCTTAGGTGAATGTTACTTAAGTAACCGCCATCTGCCCAACAAAATGGGAGGGAAAAATAGAGTGAGGGTGGAAGACCAAACTCCTCATCATCCAAGAACGTTTCACGGGGACACTATGGTTATCCATAGCCCAGCCACAACCCAAAGAACTGAAAACAGTATAAATCGCATGAAGGTCCCATCTAAAAGTAAGTGAATGCACATAAAAGTTTCTAAACGCTAACTTATGCATCAAATACTCTTTGGCTGACACCACACCAGTGCCCCATTCATCTTTATTTTTTTCATCTTGATTTCAGGTTGCTCAAGTCATTCAATCAACTCGGTGGAAATTTGTTGCCAAAAAACTTTAAGGACTTGTTATTGGGACTCCAAAATAGTCATCCACTCATCTCTTATCTATTTATTTATTTATTGTCACTAGTCAGGAGTGCAGGATGGCTTTTTTTGGAGTGCCAATAACAGCCTTAATGTAATAGTGTAAGACATAAATTACTAATTTTTCCCTACACCTGTGGTTAGATTTATTTTGGAAAAACAAAGAAAAATAAATTTCAGACCGAACAGGATATCGGCAGATTAAAATATAATTTCAACTTCCAGCAATCATCATGTGTATAACTTTACTTACCTTTGTTGTGGAATCATCGGAATCCTCGGTGCAACATTTCATACAGTTGGATACCAATTCTGCAGTCAAAACTAGGACTTCAGTAAGCATTTTTGCATCTTTTTTGATAAAGAAACGATTATATTCAAAAAGGAAAGAAGCAAAAACAACAGAAAGAGTGGTCAAGCAAACCAGCCCAAACAGAAACTGGAAAGAGAAAGAGACAACTTCACAGAGCTGAAGAGCACCCAAACACAAAATCACAAACTAAAAGGAAGCTGCCTTCCAATCTACCCAAATTAAGGAGAGGGTAATTCCCCTGAACTCATAAGAAATAGAAACCCGGAGGGCTGACAAAAACCTCCGCAAAACCAGCTCCTGCATAATCTTCAAAAACCCTCCTATTTATCTCATCCAAACCACCCAAAACTCAGCGAAAATCATCCAACCCAACATTACCTTCACTTTATCACCCTTCCAAACCGAAGGTGAGCTTCACTAAGCAGAGAGAGGCAGTCCTCCCTTGGAATTACAATAATACCCATCTCCCTAACCAGCTTCAACCACAAACCCAATGTCATCGGACAATGAAGAGAGATTGATCAATGGATTTCAAATCTAACTTATATAAGATACACCAATAAGGTGACAAGCAGTAAGGGGGGTGAGTTCTATGAACCATGTCACAAGTGTTAACTTTGACATGGGCAATTATCCAACATCTTTACTTTAGATGGAGCTCTGGGTTTCCATATCGTCCAACAGGAAAGAGAGAGTTTCATTGTCGTGATTAGCAATGAAACTATAGTAAGATTTGTAAGAATACCGTCCATTGGGTCTAATTTCCTTGAATCCATCATTATAGGGTGGAAAATGATATTTTCCAGCAATCTCAAAAGGGAAGAAGATTCTTCCACTTCCCTTTCGATTTCTCCTGAAGCAAAATTCCAGTTCATTAATCCACTGGAAAAATCCTCAACACTAGAAATGGCCATATTACGATAAGCGATATAGTGTAGAGCTTGGAAACTGAGATTTCAAAGAAGAATTTCCCAACCACTCATATTACCAAAACTTGTTTCTATCAACGTTTTTGCGCAACAAAATGGCATTTTGTAATGAAAGAGTCGCATGAGATCTCTCCTTCCAAGGGCTCCGACTTCCATTCATGACACGTTGGAATCCCATCCATTAGACAAAATTCCATACTTGCTTTTGATCACAGAATGGCACAGAATCCTAATTTAAGGAAAACAAGCTCCATATTTGCTTCAGTATACTTAACTATGCTGGAAGTAAGACAAACCACATCTTACAGTTACAGTCAAATAACTATGCTGGAAGTAAGACAAATCACATCTTACAGTTACAGTCAAAATGTTGAGCAATCATATACCGTCCCCACATTTTAGGGTTCTCCAATTCCAATCCCTGACGGTTAAAAGATCCCTTACATTCACCTTATATTTAGCCTACAGGTCTTCCATCTTTTCGGCCATGTGATGAAGAAAACACTACTTCGATTCTATCATATCTCCAAAAAATGCAAGTGATAGTGATGTCTTATAATGCAAACAGCATTGGGAACGGCCACTGATTACATCATCTACCCACTTATTTCCATGATTATAAGCTATGCAGTTGTGTTTGCATTATTCGGTACGGAATATCGATGGAATTGAAGACTCAAACATTTGTTGTTGCTCCTAATATCTATGTCCTTAATTGCTACAAATGATAACTGCCAATGCCAAAGTCGCCAACCTAAAGAAATGGAGATTCCTCCTCTTCGGATCTCAAATTCCTTCCCATAAAGTCAATAACTGCCAATGCTAAAACTCTCATACTTTGTTCTATGATTGCACCAATCAATGTTAACTAACCTAAACACCTCCTAAACCCTCACTCTTGAATTCAAACACTTCAAACCCCATCAACAACAACAGCAATTCGCACAACAAAAAATACACCAAAAGGAAATTGGGGGAATTTGAAAGATAGCTATAGAAATTAACACTGCAAAAAAAATTAAAAAAAAAAAAGAGAAAAAGGAAGGAGAATGGATTGGATGGGTAACCTTGATCCTTAACATACTCAGCCAAACTGTTACAATCAGAGCACAAAGCGAGACCTGTGAAGCCAAGATTCTCGCATTCCCTTGTGCTCAGCTGCTCTTTCGATGTTGATGCACCGGAAGCTACTGCCACCGCGAGCACCACCAACATAGCCGCCACCAACGCTCCCATCTCTCTACCTTCGAGCTCACGAGTTTCAGTCTCTCCTCCCAAGACTCGATGCAAAAACAAAACGCTGGTCTTGCTCTTGGTCTGGGCCTTCGATTCGTTTCGGGCTTTAGGCACCATAAACGAAATTTAATTTTTTTGGTTTTGTATTTCTTTTAATTTAAAAAAAAATCAGATTGAAGAAACCCATGAAGAAAAACATTTTTGACATCCAGCTCACATAACGGCTAATTCCGAGAAATAGTAAATTAAGAGCAATGCGAATGGTAACAGTTTTAACCACAATACTAAACGTTTCATCCCATTTCATTCTGCTTCGTCCCATCTATGTACCAAACGCTTTCTAAAATAACAATGTAATGCAACACTCAAGAGAAACCAACTTACGGTCTCTCACACCATAACATGGCAAGTACTCCTTTCTAGAGACCATTTCAAATGTAAGTCATTCTTAGGCTTAAGTTGAATCAAGTGGGTTAAAAGTTATTAAGTAGGACCAAACATCAACAGACCTAAATTGATAAGATAAATCCATTGGAGTAAACCAAATAATTAGTTACACAATTGGTCTTATATCTAATTCTAATTATCTCTATATTTTATGCATTCGTGGATGTTTTTATCGTTTGTTCCAAAAAAAAGAAAATTGAATCAAGGGGGTTTGGGCCCAATGGGCGTAATGAATTTCGAAACTCTTTTTTTAAGCTCACTTGTTAATTTCAAGCTTCCCTGAGATTATGAATAATTAACTTAAATTCATTTAGTTAATTATTCCATCTCCTTATTAATCATAATTAATTAGTTCAACACACTTTAGTAATCTTAGCTCCCGAATAAGGTGTGTGATCCATTAGGTATTAACCGACGAGGCAATAAGAGCGATTAATCTCCAATAATCCGTCTAGCAAACTTAAAATCCATTTAGTTTTACCCTCATTGTGAAACAGATTATCCATTTCACAAGTCTTACTAACCATGAGTAACACCGAACAAACTGTACGTTATGGTGTCCAAGTCGATATGAAATAAACGACATAGAGAACCTATATATTTTGGAATCACATTACAAGATACTACAATATTTTCAATTACATTTACAGTCGATGATTGATGTCAAACCCTTTTTGGTGCTGAACATAACACCAATGTAAACTATTTTGCTCGTATGATCCAATTTAAGGCAATGAGTTTTTGCATATGCAAACATAAGTGTGCACTGATCTTTTCGGAATTATCCATATCAACTCGATAGTTTCAACGCTCGGGAATAGTTTTAGGATAAACACATGAGATTGGTCTTATTAACTTAACTTATTAAGTTACTTGCTTCTTATGTATAAATTATCGTTGAAGTTATCAATATACAATCTCATTGAAGTTATTCATGGACTCACCCAAAAGATTTTATTTGGTTTAGTTGATGTATGGTTATCTTGCCCGTGATTAGTTCATGAACTATTGTGGTATTGTCCGAAATAGTTTATCAACCCATTGATTGCTTTTAGGGCATACCTCTAACAACTACATATTTCCCTTATAAATATGAAGAGAAGAAAGATGAACTAAACTTACCCTTGAAGCTATTAGAAAAACCCTTACAAATTGCTCCACCAATCTTCTTGTTCTTTAAGTCTTCTCTTTAAACTCTCCACCTTTGGTTCTCCTTTAGTTGTCAAAGTAGACAACCTTTAGCATCTCCACACCACTTAAATCTTGAGTGGTTGGATGAAACATAGAAGGGAGAAATAGACTAATGAGTATCACTTAGTAGATTTGTGATTTATGTTTGAGCAGTCCCACAAATAATGAGTGACATTTAGCCATATGCAATGACTAATCAAGTCAAAGGAAGATATATTCCATAACTTTTTTAGTTGAAACTAAAATGCAATACAATACTTCGCCTATTTATGAATACTAATTACATTATTATGGTCGTATTGTTTATCAAACCACTAATGATGAATACAAATAAAATCTTAAAAGCTAAGCAATTTAAAGTGAGTTTTGGTTTCTGGTTTTCAGTTTTCATTTTATTTACCTTTCTTTATGCGTGTGTGTATTTATATATATTCCTACCTTAGCTTTCTCGCCATCCTTCCTCCCTTCTCTCGTACCCTATCATATATTATCCAACTAGTGTAAAATAAGCTCTCATTATGCTCATAACATAAGATATGACATAAGGAGAGATTTTTCTGTGTAATCGAAACATAAGAGAGTACACTACATGTCATAATATAAGTGAATGAACATTGAAAAATATATATTCTAAAGCTTTGTCATCCACTTGTATGGTAACACGCGGTATAATAGTTTGTATTTCAGATAGAACAATATTTGGCTACTTAAGGATGAGTAGGAACTTCTACTCAAAATTCTTCACGTTCCAATTATTAGAGTTTTGTGTTTATAATCAAAACCGTTTATATTATAAATCACTTTGTAAGAATTATCTCTATAAAAATAAATTAAAACTAAAATTGTTTAGTCTATCTATTGTAGCAAATACATAGATAATCTGTAATACTTTTGTCAATTCCGTTCATATATTTTTATACAATTCGATGACTAAACGATCTTAGTTTTAATTGATTTCTTGCTTAGGCGATGAATAGAGTGATTTATAATATGAACGGTTCCGATTATAAACACAAAGTTCTATAAATCGGCAACGAATTATTTTGAGTATGAACTCCTACGTCACTTAGTACTATGATCTAGTAATATTCCTCTTGACTTATAAGTGAAAGGTCTTAGATTCGATTATTGTCAAAGATGAACTTGAACCAAATTGTTGTTGATATCCCATTGTGATGCTTAACTCACCACCTTTTCTCACGTAGATAATATCGTTTTTTTTTTTTCTTCCAAGTTTTGCCCTTTCGGACATGAAAATAGTGAAAAATCTTTTGTTAAGAAATGCAAAAGGCAAATGGCAGGCTTCCACGTGTTAACAAAAGCGGGAAAGCCTTAACTCTGTCTAGGAGTAAGAATAGGAAGAATTATTAGGAAATGAGAGGCCATTGTGTAATTTGTGTTTAGGTTTTTATAACGTTACGCAGTCACCACTCCCTGCTTGCTTTCATCGGCCGCCACCACTCACCCGCCTTCTCTTCTCTTCAGCTCCTCCCTCACTCCCACTCTCCGGTACCCCTCTCTCTCTTCGTATGCCAAATATGCATGTATGTTGTGGCAATGGTCTGTACTGTTGATATTCCAACATCAATTCCTCCTTGATATTATAAGGAAGCATTCGTAAATCGATGTTGTAAGAACAGAGCTCAGCTGGTGGCTATGGCTCCTGCCCAACCAGACATGGAGGCTGACCAGCTCCAAGACTGCAAACCATTTGTCAACCCAAAAGTTGAACTTGTTGAGGATGATACAGATATCAGAAGGGCTTCCTTGCCAAACTCTGCTTCTGCTTCGGCTTCGGCATCGGAGGGAAAACACATCGCTCCAGTCGTCGACATTGATATAATTCAGTGCACAAGTAATCAGGACAGTACTCAGCCTGATCCCGATGCAACGGATGAATATTCAACCTCATTCGCCGACACTACGTCCGACACTGACAATTTTTCTGGATTTTGTGAAGAAGGTGAAGTGCAGTCACACGAGCACAATGCTTTGACATCTGCTTTTGATGCATTTGCGAGTACATTTCAAACCAGGTGTGTGTGCAGCTTTTTCCTTTCCCCCTCGTAATTTATTATTTCTAGTTTATATCAAGTTACTTGTGATTTCCGTTTGTACTTGGACTTCCCACATGATTAACTGCTACTACGCTCAAGCTTTGGAATGACACGATGAAACCCTTTGTATTATGCACATCTTGATTTGAATTTTGGAACAATCTACATTCTAAACGTGAAACTTTACCACTAAAAACTTGTTAGTTTTTTCTTTTTTAAGTAACCCGCCGCTGGTCTGGAAGCCAGACTTATGGTCAGGAGGAGGCTGAAATGCCTCTGTGAGTCTTCTCGGCCCCCGAAAGGGGTGGATAACCGTGGTTTGCCACTAGTTGTCCCCCCTTTTTTCTAAAAAAAAATAGTAACTTGCTAAGTAAACTTAAGATTGTCAGTGCGAGTGCGACCGCCCTGTGCATATTTTTATGGGTGTTAATCATGAAATAATGTTGTCTTTCTAGATGGTACAACAATTATCCAGTCTAAGGTTGTTTTTCCATCCAAAAACACTGGGCGAACATTCTCTGTCTCTCCAATTTTACAAGTATGTAAACATAGACATGGGTTTTTGATACTTCAGTGTCATCTTTTCGGCATGTACATCTGGGAAATAGTATAACCCCTCACGTGAATATCCCAACTGCCTTTGTTTCTAATTCAGGAAGAAGAAGTTGACAAATCACTGGAGGAGCTTTATACGTCCTGTAATGTGGCGCTGCAAATGGATGGAATTGAGAATCAAAGAAATTGAAGCACAAGCACTAAAGTATTCCAGAGACCTACGAGTAGCATATGATAAAAAAAGGCATACAGGATTCGACCAACGTACTTTGGATGAATTTGGTTCAAAGTCATTGCCATTTTGTAGTCAATTCCGCAGAAAGAAAGCTATGAAGAGGAGGAAACGCAAGAGAGTTGAAGACACAACTGATATAGCATCATACATCTCAAATCATAGTGTCTTTTCCTATCTTGGTGGGAACTTCTTCTTTATATTAAAATATACCATGAATTTGCTCATTCACTCCCCTTCTTAAAATACACCTCCAGCCATGATATTTATCCTTGCATTATTATGTATTGCAGAAAATAAAAGATCCGATCCTGACAGCACATCCATTGCTGATGACTTTAATAATGCAGGTATAGTTCTTACCATTTGTTGTTTCTTCCTCGTGTTGAGCTGTAGGACTCTTCATTCTTGCCAATCTCAATAATTCAGCAACTTTTTGAATTGTGTTCTTAATTTTTTTTCTAGTTTTTTTCTTTATTCACTAGTCCAAGCATAATTTGTTTCCTTAAGATTGACTCCGAGACTTATTTGATTATTGTTGAGGGGATAGTAATCACAGAGCAGAGTGCGGATTACAATGATAAACTCAGTGCTGGTGATAACTGGGCATTCTTTGAGTACCGAGATGGTGACAAGTCTTTGGAGCATGT